TTTCCCCAGCTATGGAGTGGGGCTTGTAGCTTAGAAAAGGAAAGAGTAGTTCATTAATGCATTAATGCTTGCAAGGCACTTGAAAAGCGTTGAGCAGAGCATGGTATACTCCTGCAAAATATGTTTATTAATTAACAGTCAGAGATCTGCTGGTTCATTAGGAACCTTCCAGAGATGTGCCTTCTCATTAGCCTGGTACAAAACAACCCACGGCGGCAGGGAACAAGTTGCTTTACACAAGGTTCAACTCTCTGCCAGTTTAATCTTCATCTCATTGACAGACATCTGAATCTTAATTTAATTATAGTTCCTTAAATGTTTTCTGGTATCGTCTCTCAATCTCTCTGTTCTATGTCTTTTTATGGTTTCTTTTTTGTTGTGGGACAGAGGGATAGATCTTTTTTTTCCAGTGTCCATTAAAATTCCCTTTGCCTGCAGTGCAATATGCTCTATAAAAGAGATGAACCTGCTGCAAGTGAAATAAGCTGATGCTGCACTGTCTTTTTAGAGCAACAACCACCTTTATAGATTATTTTTCCAAGTGTCATGAATCTCCTTCAAAGTCACAAGTGACTGTTATCAATTAATATACTTAATAGTCTCATTTTCCATTCACATTCAGGCTGTGCAGAGTCTCTGCTCGCCCTGGCAGATGCTTGAAAGCTTTGCTTTTCAGAGATAAAATGTTACCTTGTGTGTGGTGGGGGTGGCAAGGGGGCGCGATTCGGGAGCAGCAAGACACGTTAAAGTGCAGCACCTGAGGCCTTCTTGTTTTCTGAATTTACAGTCTCGGGCTGGCAGCCGTATAAATGAGTGATGCTCTCTGATGTTCTCTCCCAAGCAGGCTACGGAATTGGCAGGGAGTCTTCGGTTTTGTGCTGATGTGTCCAGAATTCAAATAATTTGATTCTTGGGTATAATGACAATTGGAGGCACAGTATTACCTTGAGAAAAAGAGATGGGAGAGACAGCTTCTGTATCCTGTATTGAATTAACAACCGATTCCCATTTACTCTCTCTGCTGAAAACTCTATTATGTGGGGTTCTTATTGCCCTTATTCAAGGGCATGGAATTAAAAAAGTGATATCGATGGTAATGCTCTCATCTTCCTACCGTGACATTGAATAATGGGGACAAAGAAGGGAAATTTTGAAGGATGATATGCCTGTTAAAAGACTGCTGATATTGAAAACATATAAAGGACAATGCATGTGAATATCAGCTGATGAAGTCATATTCGGATTATTGTGCTTTTTGCCTATGCCTTTAAATCATCTTTGCTTTTATTTTCGCCGTTGTTTTTGGAACATTTTATTTTCCTGTGATTTCAGGAGAGAGTACTCACATACTCAAGGTGCAGACGGAGGTGAAGTGTTGGTTACACCAATTCCAAGAGAAATTTCTTCTCTCTCCTCCTGGATCCAGAGAGTGAGAGTTAGGAATCTGGCAGGGAAAAGTCCGCCAGCAGACTGGTGTAATCATACAGGCAGAGTAATACTCCTGCTCCTTGGGAGGCTCTGCTTCCAGCACAGGCTGTCATCTTCCCGTCCAGCTTAAGCCCTGTCTGACGTTACATAGACTAGATAAAACTGGTGGGCTTATAACAAAATAAGAATATTTGCTGCGGAGCCTGAAGCATCCTTCCTTTACAAATATATTCATTTAGGTTTTAAAATGTTTTTTCCTGTGTAAATGATACCTTACACAAAATGATGAGTGCATTTCCATTAGGAAGTTTAAAATTATATTTTACAGAAGAAGTGATAATATCTCCATTTTCCAGGTGGGCAGCTGAGGAGCAGACTGCTTAACTGCCGTGCCAGAAGTCGCACAGGGAATTCTTTCTGAGGCGGGAAGAAAACACAGATCTTGCAGTCATTAGTGCAAGACCACAAAGCCTCCC